AAAAAAAAAGAGCAGGAGGCGAGTGAAAGAGGAGGGGAGAGTGAAAGCGAATGGAAGGGTTTGTTGAGGACAATGGCTCAACTAAGCAGGGCCATCTGAGGTCTGTTTATTCTGTCCTTACCTCATGCTCTCGCTACCCAATGTTTATTCATTCATTTCACTTCAGTAATTCAAGAAGAAGCATGGGCAAGATAAACAGTCCGAGCAGGTCCCTCTGTGGAATGAGAAAATGTGATGAAATATGCACATTTTCTGTAAATACACATAGGGGCAGAGTATTTCTTTACATAGTGGTTGCCAACCTTTTGTCTGATGTACCCCCAAAGCCTTATCAGATGGACTCAAGTGTCCCTTCATCAACACCAGTGTATAGTGTATATTGTTACAATACTTTTTCATACAGTTTAGGTTATGTTTAGGTTGGTTAAGTCGAGTTTGCGTTGGTATTATTTCTACATTGGAACGGCAGAAACTGGATATTTCAGCCATTTGTCTATCAGCTGTTTCAAGTGTTCATTCTGTAGTTCAAGGTAATGTCAGTGATAATAACCCACTTTACTTTAACCCATTTCAACTATTTATCCATTATTTTTAGCTAACTCTTTCAACCATTTATTCAATGGAGATGTTCTGATACCATTTTTTCCTTCCCAATACCAATCCTGACATCGAAACTATTGCGTACCGATCCAATACATGTGTGTTTCAGGGCAAATAAATGACGTGGTATCGGATCTATAGCCAATACTGCATTTCAGGCAGTATCAAAGAAATTTGTGTTACAGGTATAACTCTGAATGTAACTAATTCAACACAAATAATCCACCTTACTCTAAGCTATTTTGACCATTTATCCATTACCTTTAACTTTTACAACTGTTTATTCTTTTTGCTAACTTTTTCAACTTCTCTGCTCACTTGTGCTTTCAGTTGCAACACATGATGCTCAGGGGTTACAGCTGACTCAATATATAGATTTAAAAAAATTAATCTGATCCTAATTCCTCCCTCGCAGGAGTCACTGCCAAATATAGACTATTTTCTGTAGCATCCCATCTACACATTTAGCCTCCCCCCTGAGTGAGACTGTAGTAATGTACGGAGTATGTGGAAGGGTTTAATTTAGAGGCAAGTGAGACTTCCTTGATGATGGATCCTGACGATGGGAAGTTGTGTGGGTGGAAAGAATGAGTCATCCATCATCTGTCCGCTGCGTTAGGTCGCTGCTGCTGCTGGTGCAGAGCCGAGTCGAGCCCCATCTCACGGCGCTGAAGGAGCGGTGATGTCAGAGCTGTCACTGTTCTACTCCCTCATCAGCACCCACTCACAAAGCTCTTGGTATTTGTGAACTCAGGGCAGGGTTGAATACAATAATAGCATTGAGTGAAGTATACTGTCTTCATTTAGGCCCCCTGTCACTGTATTGTTAGCCCTTCTTTTTTTCCCCCTCAACTGTCAACCTCCTCTGTAGTTTTTTTCTGCCTTGAGGCTTGCATATTAACACTGCCAAAAGTTGCACCGGATGAAGCAATGAAGGTGAACTTGGGGTTTTTAAGAAATGTGGAAACATTATGTGTTCACCCTCAACAGATTTGTTTCTTCCTCAAATCATAGAAAGTTTATTCCACTTCTGCCTCAGTGTGTTTCACAGAAAAGAGTTTCCTTATGCTGGTGATTCAAGTGCAGTTTGGAAAAGACGTTCCTGTGAGATTCATCTCGCTGACGTGTTGTTTGTGTTTTCACTGGAGCAGAGTTTGTCTCTTTTTTAGAACAACACAGCCTTAATGCGCTCTGTATATGACAGCCCTCATCAGTGACTCAGTGAGTGTTAGCCAAACATCTGAAGAAATTACCACCCACATGCTATTGCAGAAGATGACGCAGATGTGCTCTTAAGCAACTTTTGTCTTCATCTTAGTGTAGATGGAATTGATAATACATGTAGCTGGTGGCTCTAGTTCTGTGAAGTAAGTGACTCATCATTGGATAAATTACAAAGGTTACATAAGTGCTGTACTTTCTCAGTGCATGTTTACCCATCCTAGAAGTGATTTCTTGGTATTGTATTAGTAATCCTCCACATGACTATGAAAAAAAACAAATTTTATGTGTGTGCATTATGGGATGTTGTATGATGTTACAAGTTTGGTTTAAAGAATCTAGGTTTTTGTAATATTATTGTAAAATCTTCATGAAAATACCCATATATTCAGCTGGTTACAGTAGTGCTTGCAATACTGTGACTGAACAAGCAATTTAATGGCCAGAATCACACCTAAAAACATGTTGTCTTGATGTTGTCCTGAAACACTTTCTCTTCATTAGCAAGACTATACTGCCCTCTTCTGGTAACTAATTCACAATCTTCACATCCATACTAAATGGATAAATAGTTTTCATGAATATGTTTAGTGTATGCATGAGAAGAATAATAAAAAATAAAATAATCAACCTTACTCTATATGGAACATAATATAATATATATAATATATATATATATATTATATATATGTATATATATATTTTTTTTATCGCCATGATATTACCAAGACACAATTCACAGTAACATCACATAATGCTCTCTGATGTCTACTCTGATGTCTTTTGATGATGCTAGGTAAAGAGCCTTTTGATGCTTGAATATGTCACATAAACATGGTGACTGTATTGCATAATGCTGTATTACTGTGACTGCAGACCATTTTTTCTTCCATCCGCAAAACCATCCAACTCCACCAACCTCGTCTTCCCATCCCATTCTCCAGAGCTCTTCCACTTACCCCAGCAGTGGTAGAAGAAATATTCAGACCCTTCCATAGGTAAAAGTACCAATACAACAATGTAAAAAATACTCCGTTAGAGGTAAAAGTCCTGTCATACTCAAGTAAAAGTATACAACAGCATTATTGGCAAATACTTAAACTATCATAAGTAAAAGTACTTGTTCTGCAGAAAATAATCCCTGTGACTGATATATGATTGTTAATGCTGATTAATCGTTGTGTAAGCAGCATTTCACAGGCATTTAAATAAAATCATGTGAAAGGTTTAGAGGGAAAATATCTTTTTGGCTGAACTGCATACACCTTATAGACATCTGAAATGTGGCAAGGGAACCCTAAACACTGATTTTTTTGTGTATGGCCTACTCTAAATGCTGGATGCTGCTGATACATCGAGGCCACAGACAAGATGTATAGCAGCCTGGCATTAACCGCTCAGGCTCACTTGACAAAATCCGCCCTCTGTTCCAGTTATGTAGAGAATAAGCGATATAAATGTGAGAATGGATTAAAATAAAGTGAGATATGGACACTGTGTATGACCTTGTAAGAATCTCCATCAGAGCAATTTTAAACGACATCTGGTATTTTGGATTAGGGATGTTTAGGGAAGCCATCTTTAAAAAACAGCTGAAACCTAGGTCTTGGCCGTGCCTGCTGTTTGTGGGTTGGTGAGAAGGGAAGCCAATTAACACTGGGATATCCAAGCCAGGAAGGGCAGAGCGAAAGTCCTTCCTCCCTTGGCAGAGTCACTGGGGCTAACAGATGGTACTTAGATGGGCTAAGCAGTCTGCTTCTGTCTGTGGTGATTAGAAACCGAGCTCTCTCTAGTAAACGTGATCACAGGTCAACTGTTTTCCTGATGGCTTCATTTACCATGGACACAATCTATTTATTAGTTATCAGAACAGGCTTTCTGCTGCCACTTAAATTTACAGTAATCTCAGTGATTAGAGGTCACCAGATCCATGATTATATTTTTCATGTATGGGGAAAATGTACTGTAGGGTTCCAATAACCAGTCTCCATTTGGAAGTTTTATTTGTCCTGAGATGATTCTTATGTTGTTTAGAAAATGTGCCCAAAAGATATAGATATATAGAAAGAAAAGAAGTTATGATCACGATACTCCTCGCTGAGTCACCTTAGAGGTTAAAGGTGGACTCCTGGGATTTTGTATTGCACTTCCATAAAGATAGGGCAATTACAAGAAACCGATTAAACAAGACCAGGTTGAAAACTAACTAGCAAATGGACGGACTGTGTTTAATCAATGTGCTACTGAGGATGTAAATGATAACTGTCCACGCCTATTTTTTTTTTAAAGAGGAAACTCTCCTGACCAACCGACTGTGTATCTTCATTAATCACTCAGTAAATCAGGGACAGGCTTTTGTATTTACAGGGCCGGACCCGCTTTCTTGCAGTTCAGCCAAAAAAGAATGGTCGAAACTGAAAAAGAGGAGCCCGAGACATTTCATTCATTTTTATTGCCTAGTATGGGTCAAGCCCCCAAACACTGGAGCCTACATTTCCCATTATGTGACTGGACGGTGCCTTATAGTACATTAGACCCTCCCAAACTCCACACTTCCAGTTTGTAACACAGGCTTTCTGTTTTTGGGGTTTCTAAGATCAGGCCAAAACATTTTTTCGACTTTAGAAAGCTCCCTCCACAGTGTTTACGAGCTGAGTAGTACTTTCTCTGACGAGTAAGCTGAACTTGATTGTAAAATCACTGGAGTGCCCCTTAAATACTGTGACTTCTTAAATAGTTAGTTTTCTAGTTATAATTATTGTGAACTTGGTACAAAAATGATAAAGCGTGTTAATTTGCCAAGATAAACTAGCTGAATAGATTGGACTCCTCTCATTGGATGACATCATTATTGCTACAGCGCTGGAAAATCATCATCACAACATTGTTCACCAAATTGTTGAACAGCATACTGAAATTCAGCATCCCATTAAAACCCCATAAACAGTGAGACTACAGTAAAAAGATTGGTGTTGTTGGTACTCAGTTCATACAGATTAAAAGAGAAAAAGGATGGAGCGAATGATTGAAGCGATACTTTTGCTTTATTTATGTGCTAAATAAAACTAGTGTTTGAAGATATCAAAAAAGTATATTTGACACAGATACAAAGCAGAGTTAGAAAGCGTTTCAGATGGAACTACCTTCAGGATTTTGATTATATTGATTAATCCTGGACTTGTGCAGCTCTAGCATGGAAGATCATAGATATTCTATTTGAAGTGTTGAAGACATCAGGATGGCCAATATCAGTTATTTTCCTTTGACGGCTGCCCGTTGACCAGGCCGGACTCCCAGCGTTGCCACAGAGGAGCCTTCTGACCTCCTGCTCTGTGAACTTTTGGCTCCTGCTGGGGAACAAAAGATCAGGGTTTAGAGTGGGAGATAAGCTCCCTTATCTTGATCCTCTGAATTGGAGATCAATTTCAGGACCACTTGTACTAATCCAAGCATTAATAAAACACAGAGTATTTGCAAATCATCTTTGTATTTTGTTTTTAGCAACATTAGGTTCCAGCCATTCAGGACAGTACCTCATGATCCAGAAAGCCACAATTACAGAAACATATTTGAAATCCAATCAACCGGAATTTTTGTACTGATATGATATACTTCACCTTTAGTAGACCTACTCATCAGTGCTTTATTATCAGAACAATACATAACAATGATAACCCTGTAGTGTTCCCCGGAATTAGTGACATGCTTCTTGCCAGTGTTGTGCATGAAGCACGGACAAGCACTTAAAGAGCGACGGAGAACACAAGAACAAAGCTATTTACAGTAATTAGACCTGACACATCACCTGTGTCTGCTGGTCTTTCTTGGAAGGCGGCGGCCAAACCCGTTCCAGTTTCCCCCTGGACTGTCGCCTGACATCTGACAGGAAGAAGAAAGGATCAGGATAATATAAAGGGATTTGTCATTAAACCATTAAGGATTCCATACATTTATCTAGACTGAAACTCTTTATTTGTCTGCTCTAATGTAAGCAGCAAATGTTAGCATATCCGGCTAACTATCTTCCTACCCACAGCAGTAACCTGAGTGCTACTTCCCAGGCCTGTGGTATTTCATACATTATTTTGTGGGGTTACAGATGTTAAAGACATTATTTTCACTGTGTGGCTAATTTCAGACGCATAGGATATTACCCACTTGGTGAAAAGAACTACAGATATGTCAACAAACAAAATGGCTGCAAATGTGCCACCGCTGCCAGTTACATCAAAATAAAACGTAATATTAACACTGATATAATGGATATACCAAATTTAATCAGAGCTTTAACTTACTTTGCATCTGGTTTCACTAAGTAACAAACTGATACACATATGTAACACAACCAATTTAGTCTAGTGTGACAACAAGGTTAGCACTAACGCTAACCACCTTGGAATAATGTGTGAACGTTCCCAAGTTCGAAGAATAGATGTTTTTCCTCTTATTCCCATTCTGTGTGAATGCAGCATTACATTTTCCTCATCTTACTTGTAATAGTAGGACTAACTAGCTCTACACTGCAATACACAATACAAGAACAATGCTGTTGTGTCGTGGATCAGCTATTGAAGATGCTGACTTTTTGCCTGGGACACGTAGCTTTAGCCACAGTCTTTTAGGATGATATCATGTAGCCATTGCCTGAGTTTTTAATTAAAAAAAAGGCATTTGGATATTTTAGAAACTCAGCCTGAGGCTGCTTTTTTAACTGAATCATTAAGCTAAGGTTAGCTTAGTTAGCATATTAACTACAGCAATTGTTGGCTAGAAATAAGAAACCTGAGGATCTATTGTTTTGAAAATTCACTGTATTTTGGTTATATATATCCAGTATTGTGTCATGGCTGGTTAGGATAACACACTACAGCTTATTTGACCTTAAGAATGAGTCATTTCCTTCAGTTTAGCCCAGCCTCAGACTGTCATATACATTACTATTACTGTCACATGCAGCTTTATCATCTTCACCTTGAGTCAACCCACATATCATTATCCAGCCACGGTGGCTGAAAATACTAACATGGTGCCACATACTGACACACTCCCTGGCTGGCTGCACTGTTTTGTTGCCTCCAAGCTCTCCTGCTGAGCATATAGGCAACAACTGTACATCCTTTCAACAAGACCTATCAACTGTCTGAAATCATTTCTATTTACACAACACTATAACCGAACCAGAACTGCCACTGGCTCAAGCTGGAGTGCAGATAGTAGTCTTCATGTTGTCACTCAGGCCGCTGGCATCCGCTGACTCAGATCAGGCAGCTGCTGGAGTGATGTGCCCTTAACCGTCCATGACAGGGTTGACACTAAGTTGTCGATAAGACTCCTTAGATAACACTATGTGATCCTAATGTAGAGAGGCATTCATTAAAGTGCTCAGACTGGGTGTCAGGAGGCTGGGATGTGCGATGAATAAAGATCTAAATGACTCTTATTAGATTAGACATGCTAGTATTTATATGATACATATTAGAAACCTGGTGGAAATGAGCCATAAATATTTTCATAATTTCTATTTATGGTTTCCTAACATTATTGGTAATGTTTATCCAAATTATCAACTTAGGTTCAACAGAAATATTAATAATATTCGGAAATTGTTTAATTAATGTACAAATGAACCAAAATGGATTCATGCAGACACACATAGAAAAAACAACAAAGTCTTTAGACCTTCTTAGGACTTAAGTTAGCAATTCAACAGTGTAAAATAAATATTCTATTAAGTAAAAGTTATGCATTCTATTCTTAAGTGAAAGTATATATTTTATATACTACTAGGTTGTTTAATCTATCATGTATCTGTCAAATAAATATAATGGAGTAAAAAAGTATTGCCTCAGAAATGTAGTATAAAATATAAAATGTTATATAATGAAATATAAAGTATAAAGCATCAAATTGAAATACAAGTAGCTCCGAATTGTACTCGCAGCACTTGAGAAAATGTATTTACTTGCATTTCACCACTGATTCTCATGTTAAAGGTTATCACAGTGACCATGCAGACTAACCTGGTTCAAGTGTTGGTTGTGACTTTTCTCCATCTTCACTATTCTGCCTGTTCTCTCCGTACAGACTGGATCTCTGTCTGCGCAGCTCCTCCTCTCTTTCTTTGGCCTCCCGGATGTCCTTCTCTACTTCGGGTTGCAGAGCCAGGGCTGGTCGCAACTTGTAGAAGGGGTTTTGTCTGAGGATGGGAGATTCTTGTGTCGCGTTTCCCTCCCTAATTTTACTCCTAGTCTCCACAGCTGACGTAGAGACATCCGCGCTTATGGAGTCCATGCTTCTGTGCAGGCGTGTCTGTTTGTCTTGTTTTGGGTAGGGGAATAAACGTGTTTTGTCCCGAGAACCACCAACTGGACTCCTTGATCTTAAGTCGTCAGGACTTTTCTCCATCTCAGAGGTTGCAGATTTGTACAGCCTGAGGGAATGTGCTCTGGAAATGGGGCGACTTTTAAGTGAAAACATCTCTAGACTTCGTGTCCGCTCCAGCACAGATGGGTAAACATGATCTTTCATTAGTGAGGTTGGGAGTTTCCTTTGCCTTGTTGGACCGTCTGTGTTATCCTGCTGAAAAGCCTCAAACAGCAGTTTGGTCTCCTTTAATTGGCGGACTTCCCCTTTACTGTAACCCCCTGGGATCTTCCCCTGGTTGACCAGCACCAGTTCTCTCTGGATCTCCTGACTTATCTCCTTCTGCATCTTCTGTTCGGAGAACTGCCAGTCTCTTCGCTGGTCTGGGCCAACCGTGGTGGCAAGTGGCTCAAGCGAGATATTGGTCTTGAAGGGGATCTCTAGCACATCTGGATTATCTGCAAGGTTGAAGAGACCGCCGGCTCTCTGCAGGTTCTGCTTCTCATTGGCTGCCTCATGGATCTGCCTCTCAATGGAAGTCTCAGTGACTGACAATCGGTGGCGGGTGGATGGAAAGGGAGTTTGGGTGGGAGATGTTTCAAGGGGGTTGATTGGAGACACATCTACAGGTACCCAGCTGTTACTTTGATCATCATCAGAGTCACCTTCCTCTGTTCTGGCAATGATGTGATGCTCTGGCTCTACAGGCATTGTTGACGAAGACATCATTGCTATTGTTTCAACATCTTTACCCTCATTCCTTTCCTTCTCCGTCAGGTTTGTCTTCGCCCCCTCATCCTCAACAGTGTGAGATTTACTCTCTACACCTGTCAGATCCCCTTCTCTTGCTCTAACATCATCTGCTTCAGTCCCAAGCACACCCTTTGTCTCACCTCTCGTCTCTTGGACAACCTGCTGGGAGGTGTGAGGGCTCTCTGGTAGATGTACATCCTGTCGTAGCTGCACCTGTTGCAGACGTTGAAGCAGTTGCTCTCCTTGTTGGATATCAGTAGATATTTTCCTGCTTACATCTTCTTGCTCTCCCTTTATCTCCTCATAGCCTTCAGAGATGGACAGACGGGACACTTGCGTTTTGCTAGTGCCACTCTCTCTTCTCACCCAGTCATCCTTTGTGAGGTTGGAGTCCAAAGATTTGTTGTCAACATGCCCTTCATCATAATTGGACACCTCTGGTACCTGTGGCTGATTGGTCTTGTTTTGGTTGCATTTGCAGAGCTCTGGTGGCCCACAGGACTCAAAATCAGTTAGAGCATTTGTCTCCACAAAATCCATGTTTTCTGTCGTTAGTTTTAAATCTGTCTCAGCAAGATCACATACATCTTTGTCTTTCTCAGTATTTGATGGTACTTGTTTTGGATATTTATCTCCTTCTGCATCAGTTTCACTCCAGTTTTCCTGTCGTCCACTCAAAATGACAACATCCTCATGTTCCACATTTGATTCTTCATCTCCTGTTGTGCTATCCTGATTGTGTCTTCCAGATGGATCATAACATGTTTCCATGAGACTACCTGTGCACTCCATGGAGGTTTGGTCTTTTGCTAGAGTGCAGTCCTTGTCTTCAGACAGAGATACAGTGTCCATAGACTCCATAGAAGTATGTGCTGTACTTGCTTTCACTTCATTTACCTTGTTGTGTGCTGCCATTAACTGCCTCTCATCATGATGCCAGTCTAAGCCACTTGGATTAGCTTTAGCCTCTCTGGCGTCAGCTCCCCCATTTGTAAGGGTCACAGTGGGATTATTCACCATTGCATCTGTGCTTCCCGCTGTTGGCAGCGAAGGAGCCGTGTAGGATGGAGGAGGCGGTGGGATGAAGACATAATCTGCACCCACATCATCCATCACACCGTAGTACCTAGGTTTCAGTACAGGGGCAGGGGCAGGGGGTGTGACTTTGGGTTCATCTTGGGGCCTCTCACCACAGGTTACCGATGGGCTCTCTGTGTGGTCAGTCACTGGGTTGGAGTCTGTCTTCATCCACAGACCAGCATCATCCTGGGAGACAAGACCTTGAGGGCTGGGTCTGGGATCTCTTGTTTCCATGGTTACAAGCCTTTTAAGCACTTAATGGTGTTTCTTCTCTATTCTCCTTTAAAAGACACACATGAGAAAGTGTCATAGAGGTTGACAATAAATCCATTATATCATTGCTAGTTTCATTATTATTGTCTGTAACTGCTTTTACAAAACACAACTATCTTTTTTACACAAAGATTATTGTCTGTCTTTTTTTAAAAACAGGGTCTTTAGCCAGACAGAATGAGCAAGTTATTATTATCTTATATTTGTGACTGCTACAGAAACCAGCTAGTCGTCCCCAATGCAAAACCTAGTTGATGGGCTCCTGTTGACCGCCCCTGTTAATCCCACTCTTTGTGCAATGTGTACAAGTTTTCTGTGCTGTAATACTATCGGGCCCTTGGTTTACTGTGTGGTGATTTCATTAAACACAAATTAATTTAGGAATGTAAGTACAAAAGTACAAAGAATTGACACTGAGACCCTCTTCAAGACAGGGTCAAGACCAGGTTATAAATCTATAGTAGTGCTAAAGAGCAATGTTTTTGTCTTTGTTGCACGTGCACACCTAGGGGCGACGTGATTCCTGCCAACAGTTTCATTAAGTATTCCACTGATGTCAAGAAATGCAGCAGCTGCTCAACAAAGGGAGTGAAGAAGAAAATGGCAAGCAAATAAACATGGATGTAAACAATGCAGTTTTCAAAAGAAAAACTGGGATGGGGAGGGAAATGCATTGAACACATTTGTAATATACACAATGTGTTTTGGTGAGAAACACTGAGAACAGAAACTTTGTTATTTTACAAGAAAACTCTGCAGGGCACCTTTAAGGCCTGTACGTTAACACTTTATAGGCCCTTATCATGTCAGTTACATTAACACAAACCAGTTGACATACACTAAGCCTGGAGCTTCCAGGGCCCCAGAAAGTCTGTGGCCCCAGGGCAGCTGACTGCTGTGCTCTGTTGGTAATCTAGCCTTGCTACAGCATCTTCATAAGGATGAAGTGCAGAGCTTTCTCTTGGCTTTGGTGTTCAGTTATTGAGATTGCTTTAAATGCCTGTCTTAAAGTTGTCCAGTGCTCAATACTTTTCCTTTTTTTCCAGCATACAGCTTATGTGTTGTTTTGGTGACTTTTCTCCCCCGCTGTGACCTAGCACAGCCAATTCTGCTGACAAAGGGAAAGAGTAATCGGCTTTGCTCTGTCTGTTTTGGCACGCACACTATGTACAGTATCTGCCAGCCTGGCCGGCCACAGAGACTCATCTTCTTACCAGTTTTCCTGTTGAGAATTGTGTTTTTTTCCATCATTCTGTTTAGTATAACAGACCTTCACTCATTGAGCTTATCCCTGAGCCACATTGACTTGAACTGTGATTATCCCTGTAATAACAATTTAACTCTTTAATGGGACAAGCATTATGTAGTTACACTGATGCATCATAACATGAATACACAATGCCAGGGATCCGAAAATGCCGACCTGAGGGGCCATTTCTGGCCCTCCACCCTCCTCCCCTCCAGCCTGTGACATGTCAAAAATATGATATAATCTGGCATGCAAGATATAAATAACAATAATAATAATAACATAATAGTTTTTTTCATATCAATTTATACTATCCTTCATATAAAATTAAAATAAAACAATTCTATTTTAAAAAAGTATTTTGTTTGATATAAAATAATGGCAAAGGTCAAAGGTGCAGATTTTGGGCCTTCATTTGTCTTTTGGTTGTGAACAACAAAGATGATACAAAATGATTATATAAAAATGGATAGAAACTGCTGTTGATAATGGAAATATTCTAAGAATATTGTGCTTTCTTGGTGTACTTAAACGTTCAGGTTGCCCTCCTATGAGATAACATTACCGGCTGTGGCCCAAACAAATTTGAATTTGAGACCCCATTCACTATGTGGTGTCACTGAATAATTGTTTAACATACGTTCTCCTTAATATAAACATTGTTGCAGCATTATCTGGTTCCCTGTGCTGCAGGTTTAAATCTATGGACTATATTTACGCCTGCATTTAGGGGCTTAATGCCAGTCACACTGCATGTCAGCATTACAAATAGCAGCACCTTACTGTACATAAAGCTCAAGCAACAGGACATATTAATGCGCCTTAATGAGCTTAACTTGTTTATTCCATCCTCAACATTTTCTCTGCTGTTGTTATGAAGAAGGTTCTTATAGATTACTTTAAATGCTATTCAAAAATATTAAATAAATACTTTACGATACAATTTAATTGACATGCAATTTCATGATTCCATTATCCAGTATAATCAAATATGATAGTGGCGGTTGTGCTAGTAGTAGTAGTAGTAATAGTAGTAGTAGTAGTAGTAGTAGTAGTATACAAATAGTATCAATCTTATAAATATTTAAGGTGCCACTTTTTTTGTTACTCCACTACATTTCAGAGATACTGTACTTTTTACTCAACTTCAATTGATACTTATAGGTACTTTTTACTTTTAAAAAACACTGCTTTTATATGACGCAGTACTATACTGCTTATCTACCCAGTAGTGTAAAAGAAGTACAAAAATGGCTCCACATTGTCTACTATACATGTACAAATAAATAATATGATATTCTATAATAATATACGTTCAGTACATTTTACTTGATAGTACTCCTGTACTTTTACTTAACTTTTCATGTAACATTTTAAATGCAGGACTTTTACTTCTAATTGAGTATTTTTAGACAATGTTATTCCTACTTTTACTTCAGTAAAAACATCTGAGTACTTCTTCTTCAAGCACTGTATGACATGATCTTTAACTGTACTGCTGCTTTTATCTGACTGACCACATAAAGCTTTACTATTAATATCTGCCACTAAATCACAGAGAGAAAAGAGTGAAAGTTAAGCAAACAAATACAAAGGTAGACACATAATGTAGAATTTTTAAAGGAAGAGACCCACCAGACTGTAGCGCTGCAGGCATCTTCAGTGCGTGATAGTACTGACCTCAATGGAAATATGATCCAGCTGATCTACTTAGCACCTGTACCTTCCTGTCCTCTGTGTCATGTGAGCAAACAGAATCCTCTTCTTTGAGATGCACTGTGCAGTCTGAATGAATCACAGCAGCATTGTAGAAATTCAAGTGTATCTTTATTATTGTGTAACATTGAGATGTGCTGCATACGACAGTGTTTATTGTGTTTGTATGAAATTGTGTTCAAATGTGAGATCTTGAGGAAATTAGACACAAAGAACATACTCATTATATTTATAATCATATATTCCAGTACATCCACTGCATTAAATCCATTTTATACCAAATTAATACAAATTATACCAAATATTAAAATAAATTTTAACTAGCCACAAAAACAAGTCTGTAAAATGTTATTTCCCCACGTGTTCTACAGTAATTTAACTGCTAAATTATATTAAAATATTAATATTTTATCTCACTATAGTATTGCCTTAATGCAGTTTCAATGCTTTTCCTACAATGCCAGTAATACAATTCTGATGGATAAAATTATTTCAAGTCTAAAACAATCTAATTTAAAAGTATAGTTTGACATTTTGCGTAAGTAAGTTTGCTTTCTTGCCAAGAGTTAGATGAGAATATTGATACCAACAGCAAGCCTGGCTCTGTCCAAAAGTAACACGATTCACCTACCAGCACTCTAAAGCTCATTAAGTAATACATCAAATGTTTGATTAATGTAAAAGCCAAAAATGAATGATGGTATTTCCCAAAATTATTAAAACTATTAGCTTAAGGATTTGGAGACTAAAATACAACTGAACAAGGCTTAAGAAACTCAACATGTAAAATGTGAATGACATTAAAACCTCCAAATTCTCTCTGTCCTCAGTGGTAGCTACAGCCCTGAGTAGTAGTCGGAATGAAAGTACAAAGGATGTTACAAATGTCACTATTCTTTTTACTTTTCAAGACAGACACACTGAATCACACCATGATTACTGATTACTAATATTTGTGCTCTAAGCTGTAAAATATGCTTCTCCTGCTCTTTGGCTTTTTCCATTCCTAGAGCAAACATATGGAATATTTTCGGCTGATGCGGCACAGAACAAGTCCTGAGGCAGAAATACATTTGAGTCTTAAGTATCTTCACGCCTGCAGGAGGGCATGTTGAAATTCTCAGCTTTGTCCACCAGAGGGAGGAAGTGGGTTTTAATAGCTTTTGTCAGTCCACAGCTGCTATAAAAGACCTACAACATAATAAATGTCTGCTTCTTTGGCAAAGCGAAGTGAAGTGCTGGGTGCTTAAAGCCAAAACCATCGTAACATAATACCAGATGGCGGTGTATTCTCTCATATTAGTCATTGAGGCCGCAATGCAGCACACAGTGCCTAATGGAAGGCGTAGTATTGTAAATGTTAGGATTAAGGCTGAAGAGGGAATCTCCCCTTTCAATCATTTCCTTACATGACAGAGCAACACTGACAGGTCTTGCGCTTGGAACCTCCTCCCTCTGCTATACTGGGTAATGATGAATTATGCAGCTCCTTATCACCTTCCTCTCCCTGGACTTTAACTCCTGCCCCATTTCCTTCCAGGGGAATGTCCTGAAACGCTTGGTCTTGGGACTCTTTCCCTGCCTGAGGTGAAGCAGATGTTTCAGGTCCTAAGACATGTTCTTCTCCTTCCTCAGTGATCATTACTCGTTCCACAGTAAGCATGCCTTCGTGGTCCTCTTGGCCGTTTCCTTGGTCAGTTGTAGCATCAGCATATCCGAGGAACAAAAGAGTGACTGGGCCTTCCTCCAACATTTGATCCTCCACGTAACCTACTTCCCCTATGATGTCTCTAACCGCCGTGATGCTTCTGTCCTCTTTATTATGCTCCTCATTTCCCATGCTTACAGCAGAATCCTCTCTCCCCAGCTCAGCTTCCAAGTCGTGGCTTCGTGAGCTGTCTAACTGCATACTGTCCTCCTCTGATATGGCATGACAGGTAGAAAAAGACAGGACTTTTCCCTCTGGGGCTCTGTTGGCATCGACATTCTCTGTCTTCGTCTCCGCCTTGTTTGGTGTGACTGTGACCTCATCCAGCAGCACTTTCATCCCAATCCCGTCGATAACGCTCAAGATCTGCCCAAGCTCTTCGGTGGAGGGTTGACCTCCCACCCCACCAACAGCGTGGATGCTCTTTCTGCCATCGTCGAAGACAGTGGTAGCTGTCGCAGCACCAGCCGGTGTGAGCACGGGGGCCACTGACCTGACGACTGTGGCACCTGTCCTTGGGTCTTTCTCGACCTGCACCGCCAATGTTCCCAGAACTGCAACACAGGACAGAACATGGTTTAAATTAAGAAGATAAAATGCTTGAGGAAAGACGACTCTCAAGGCGGATATTACAGATACAGAAGTAATTTGCAGTTGAGGTCACGCTGCATCTCTTAATGTATCATAGGATTGGGTGTAATTAAAAAGTCCCAGGTCAGTATTAGAGCTCTGTATAACTAATGCAAGTCGGCACAGAAGACAATTTAGAGACACAATAAGCAAAATGCAGCAGCTTTTTACTCTACACAGCCATCCAGCGGGCATAGAAAATTAACGAACAGAAATAAGTGGGCTAAATATAACATTGTTCTCAGGCCGTTCACCTCAGTACCATCGTTAAGTCGTACCCTGAGGGCAGTGCCGCATAAAAAAAGGGGTCATCATTTGCAAGAGGAGAATCTAGAGACTGACGATATTCTGATATTCTGTGGCCTAAATTCCTGTTTTTCAAGGTAAAACTTTTGTCTCTGTGTAGTCATATAATCACAAAGGGCTGTAGTCAGAAAGGACTTTTAAAATTCCAAGGGTTAGTTATAGTAGTTAATCTGCACTTCAAGGGACTCAAATTCTGAGCCAAAAATACTACATATATTTATGACCTCGGTATCCACAGCCCTGGAAATTACGAGATACATAATACTGATCTTTTTACAGTCACAGTTACAAAAAAGTCTACTGTGCCTCACCTGATCGGCCATCTTGTCCACTTTCATGAAACATCCTTTGTGCCATTTGTATAGTGAAGTGATCCTTAGGCTCTTTACTCACTGAAAGAGAAAATGTTGCACTATAGATATTAAATTCAAACTAAAATTGAATTTTGCTTAGAAATCAGTATACACATAAGACAGCTGCCCCCACATTAGTGATTAATAGTTATTTTTGTTTTTGACCGACAGTGTTGTTGCTGTAATGTTATTGGTGCAATATCTGTGTGGAGTCCCACCTGTAACCTGAGCAATCCCGGCCTTATCCCATGTTTCCGTCCCTTAGTCACTATGTGTTGTGACTGGAATCGCAGTGTAGCATACAGAGTGCTGAGTTTACAGGACTAGCCATTCCTGAGTTTTGACAGTCTGGTCATTTGCTGTCACCACAACTAGACCCATCAAAGACAGACAGCAAACGCTAGCTAGCCTAGCTTACACCTTTCACTTTGTATAATGTGGGATGAAAACTGACTGCTGACAGATGAGCTTAGCTTTGCTATCTTCTACTTTCTGAGTGGAATAGAAATGTAACCATACAATGGATCCTCTCTAATGGTGAATGTAAAGAACAGATGTCGGTACAAAAACAAGGTTATGAGGGTATGTTGAAAAAGGGGGAAAAAACATGTATCAGGGTTTTTAGGGCTACTGACCTTATGAGTTTTAGAAACATAGAAGTGCTTTCATGTCATTATTTTGTCTTTTAATTTCCTAATGTGAAGTGGTAGTCAATACAATGTATATCAGAGAAAAGATAAATCACATTCCAGACCAAGAACACAAAAATTAACTGGTTTGGTGGTTGTCTGTGAAGAATTCAACTAATTCATTTTTAATAACCTCAAAAACGACAACAAAGAAAAAGTCAGCATCAGAGTTCTTGAATTTTTAAGAAATATCCACTGCAACACACAGTAAAAATTATTGAGCTTGTTGAAAGCTGGTTAAGGCCAAATGTAACTTGAAGAAATGGGCGGGCCGCATTCGGTCAATACAGGGCAATGACATGCTTCTGTCAGTGGTCAACCACAGGACTTAAAGCTGCAGTTGCTTTAAGTCCTAGTAGTGGTAGTAACTTTTATAAAAATAACTTTATGTCATATTAACTATATCCTGACAGTATATGAGACAGATAATCTGTGGAAAAAGCAAGATTCCTTTGGCTTGTCCTACTGCTCCTAATAGCATTTACAAGAATCCACTGTGCTTGAAAACAACCGTCAGAGCCAGGAAAGTCTTGTTACTATTACTGTCAAGGTATAGTGGAAGTTTCAGAAAATATGACAAAAAGTAGTTTTTTTTTTTATAAAAGTTGTTGTATAAAACATGTCTGTTTAACACTGCAATGGGAAACGCCTCCACAGAGGTCGAAAGTTTAGACACTGTTTCATCCTTTTTTTGAAAGATATTAAAAAACTGCACAATAGCTGCAATATCATCATAACTTCTTTTTTTCTCATACAAAAAGTATACACAATTCAGCTGGAATTTAGAGAGCAAAACAAAGCTTTCTGGAGCTTTTAATGTGCTAATATGACTTGCATGAATCACAATTTTAATTCTGTGAATTAAGTTTTGGGGAAGAAAGTCATTAGTATCAAGTATTATATAGTTGTTCTGTTATTGTTTACCTCCCAGCTTCTCTGTGACTTTGTGCAAGTTGGAGATTGGCTGAAAAGGTTTGGGATAAACTTTTGCTCTTTATCGTGTCCTTGTAGAGTGAGTCATGCAGGCAGAATTTAAGTAAGTAATGTTGTTACAGTCAAAGTAGAGCTGTTTCTCAGCCATGGCTCCATTCTGTCACGGTGATTTAAATAACTATTCTTCATGCAAAGACTTAGTTATGGTAAATTAACATCTGTCAAGAGAGAATAGATTCTAGGCTGGCATAGTCAGGAGAGTGACAAAAATGAGATGGAAGCTGATGGTAAGCTGATGACGATTACCGCCCAGCTGACTTCTTACCTTGTACGTCCTCGTCAGTGCCAGCCTGTGGGTAAAGAAAAGAGACAATTCTAAGTG